TTCGAGAGCGGAGATGTGCGTCCTTTTGTTGAATTACCTTGATCCACCAAACCTATGGTCTCTAAATAGAGGAAATCTTTAATTGGAAGGAACAGCTAATGATAAAAGATAGCCATTTAACGGGGGCAGTCGCAGAAATATCGAAGCTCGAGGGCAAAATTGTGGTTTTTAATTGGAGTCATGGTCTTCAGCGGCGTAGCTAGGTGCAAAAGGGCCCCAGTGCAAGATTGATGCCGGGCCCTTTGATGTGATACAGGAAATTTCCTAAAGTTGTCAGAAATTTTATAGTAAAAGTTTCTTCTTTTACTCCCTACTTCTAAAGGCTTATGCTATAAGTATGCCGAATAAATATCAATGATAATCTCTCGTAACTATTTTAGGACATAGGCCTATTCGGTCTCAGCAGCTGTTTTAAACTAAATCAAGAAAATTAGTGGCACACAAAATTTAACAATTGCAATGGCGGGTCAGGGAATAAGGTGGGGGTGAAGGCCACCTCAGCTCTCCCAGTGGCTGAAAACGTATGATTATAGCTGCACCTCTAGATAGCCGGAAATGGCACTCTCAGACTTAAATTTTAATATAATTCCCAGGTGAGAAAAAAAAATGTATGTGTATATTTTACATATTAGTTGCCCCAAAACTGATTAAATAAGCTGTCGAAACCCCTAAATTGTCATTTTCGGAGAAGTTATACGCTATCGAGAGATTTCAAGGGATGCCCAAAAAGTGCAATATAATATGGCTCATGTGCACTACACTTATTCGGAAAAGAGTAGAGTATAATTGTCTCATGGTGTATTGGTCAATCACAACCAGAATGACCCCCACAGGATATGTCTTCTTCAGACTTTCATAGGATATCCTTGCTGTTTACACCGAATAAAGCCATCCATCCATCCAATTAAAATTTAAACCCTGAAATTAAACGTGAAGACATTTTTTTCAACGTATTTGCCGAGGAGCCATTTTTTCAACCATGGTGAAAAAAAATGTGCAGCACATACATCACCACCCGTCTATAACCTTCTTATTAAAGTGGCCGTCCACGTACTTGCAAATTGCTATGCAGACGTCGGGAAAGCTTATTTCCCGCCATCTAGGAATCGAAAATTTCCCGGGGGACTCGAGAACCTCGTGACCCCCTTTCTTGTTGGGACTTATCGATTCATCGAAAAAGAATACGTATGCAACAACTGATTTTTTTTTAATGTATAATATACACATATCCTATTTTCTGTAATAAGAATGAGGAAAATTTACCTGACCGTTTTCAGAGGCAAACCTTGAATTTTGAAGAACTTAAAAGTCATTTAAAAACACTTCAGAAGTCAGGAAAGCTCATTTCCCGCTATTTAGAAATCAACATTTCCTGGGGAGAACCCCCAACTCTTCGGGGTTTATCGATTCATGGAAAAAAGAATACGTATGCAACTACATATTTTTTTTATGTATGTATACACATATAACAGGCCTATTTACTGTAATAAGATGAAGAAAGTTCACCTGACCGTTTTCAAGAGGTGGGTGGGGGGGGGGGGGAAACTTGAATTTTGAAGAAAGTCATTAAAAATACACCTAGCTCAAAAGTCGAGAAAGCTCATTTCCCGCCATCTAGGAATTGAAATTCTCCCAGGAGAGGGCCCCGGACTCCCTCCCCCTTCCGTCTTGAGGTTTTTGAGTAAATTTCCC